CTCCTCCTCCTCCTCCTCCCCTCCTCCTCCTCCTCCTCCTCCTCCTCCTTCTCCTCCCTCCTCTCCTCCTCCTCCTCCTCCTCCTCCTCCTCCTCTCCTCCTCCTCCTCCCTCCTTCCTCCTCCTCCTCCTCCTCCTCCTCCTCCTGTTCCTCCTCCTCCTCCTCCCCCCTTCTCCTCCTCCTCCTCCTCCTCCTCCTCCTTCTCCTCCTGCTAATCCGCAGCCCCGGCGGGCGAGCAGCCCCCAGAGATACAGGGCCAGAACGTCGGCGAGGAACGTGGCGGCCATGAACGCGAACGACGTCACGCGCCCCGTGGGCCTCCGCGGCCGCGCGGGGACGGGCGCGGCGACATACCCTCCTCCTCCTCCTCCTCCTCCTCCTCCCTCCCTCCTCCTCATCCATATCCCCCTCCCCCTCCCCCTCCTCCACCTCCTCCTCCTCCTCCTCCTCCTCCTCCTCCTCCTCGGGTCGCCTACGGCCCCGGGGGAAACCTACGGCCCCGGAGGACTCGCGGGCGCCTCCTCCTCCTCCTCCCCCCTTCTCCTCCTCCTCCTCCTCCTCCTCCTCCTTCTCCTCCTGCTAATCCGCAGCCCCGGCGGGCGAGCAGCCCCCAGAGATACAGGGCCAGAACGTCGGCGAGGAACGTGGCGGCCATGAACGCGAACGACGTCACGCGCCCCGTGGGCCTCCGCGGCCGCGCGGGGACGGGCGCGGCGACATACCCTCCTCCTCCTCCTCCTCCTCCTCCTCCCTCCTCCTCCTCCTCATCCATATCCCCCTCCCCCTCCCCCTCCTCCACCTCCTCCTCCTCCTCCTCCTCCTCCTCCTCCTCCTCGGGTCGCCTACGGCCCCGGGGGAAACCTACGGCCCCGGAGGACTCGCGGGCGGGGGGATGCTGCGTTTGGTGTCCTGGCCCCCGGCGCTGTCCGATTTGGGCCCTGAGGGGGAGGGGACGACGAGGGGGGGGCGGGGGGCGGGGGTTCCGAATCTGACTGAGCGCGTTGCGCGTATTTCCCCTTGCCCTTCGCTTTATACCTGGCCCCTGTGCTCGTATGAGGCCCTGGCTGCACCTGTGCTTTGCATCCTGGGAGGAGTCAGCCCCTCACGCCCTCGGCGACTCGCGGCCCGCGGCTCCGCGACTCGCGCGCGCGAGCAGCGCGGCGCGGGGCACCGTCCGCGCCAGATCTCTGGCCGATCCGGCCAGTAGGCCCATGCGGTCGATCCCCAGAAGTCTCGACCCATTCCTGGGGACCGGGCTCTCATCCTCGATCGTTTCTCGACGGCCCCGGGGCCCGGGCAGGGGCCCCCAGAGGCCGAAGGCGGCGAACAAAACCCCGTCGTGATGCTCTCCCGACTCGCCCTGATCATTTCGTACTGGAATTTTCCTGTCGCCACCGACGAGATCGGTCGCCACCGATTTTGCTTCAGATTTCGGTATCGGCCGCGACCGATTTGCTTCAAAATCGGTCGCGACCGATCGCTCGCGAGCAAAGGGCCGCGATCGGTGGCGACCTCGCGACCGATTCGCGATCGGTCGCGACCGATCTGGAGTGCCGATCGGTCGCTGCCGATCGCGACCGAACAAAATCGGTATCCGATGATCTGGGCGAGGGGGCGTTCACTAACGGGGGTCGATAGATGGGGGGGGTAAAAAAGGTGCACCTCTCGTGCACCTTTCGTACCCCTTCGGGGCCCTCTAGGGGGGTCGCTTAGGGCCCTTTTGGGGCCCCTTTCGTGCAACCCTCGACGCCCCCCCATTTATCTAGGCGGCGAGCCAGGGGGGGAAGTGAGAAGGGGCGTGCCTTCTCATAGGGGCTCGGAAGCCCCCGGGACTTCGGAGAAGTTCTCTGAGCCTTCCCCGAAGACAGGAGCAACCTCTCAGAAGGCGCGAGGGCTCCTGGGAAGTACCGCCGCCTTCTGAGAAGGCCTTCCCCTTCTTAATTTGAGGGAGTTTCTGTGGAACTCACGTCATCCTCACCCCCGGCGCGAAGAGCACGAGTCCAGAGCGGCCTCCGGCACCGTTTCCGGACAGATCCGGTGGATCCGCTGGATCCGCTGGATCCGGTGACGAATCCCAAACCGGCGCCCTCGCTTGAGACATCCTCACAAAACCGGCCCCGGGGGAGGTGCCCAGAGGAGCCCAGAGCGGCCTCCGGCACCGTTTCCGGACAGATCCGGTGGATCAGAATCCGGCGCCCTCGCTTGAGACATCCTCACAAAACCGGCCCCGGGGGAGGTGCCCAGAGGAGCCCAGAGCGGCCTCCGGCACCGTTTCCGGACAGATCCGGTGGATCCGCTGGATCCGCTGGATCCGGTGACGAATCCCAAACCGGCGCCCTCGCTTGCTGAGGTTCTTCGGAGCTGGAATCCAGCTCCGCGGGAGCTAGAATTTAGCTACGAGGCACGGGAGCTGGAATCCAGCTCCCGATGCAACCATTTCGTCGGATTGCTGATCGACTACGGTTTTGCACCGACATGCTGTTAACAGCTCGAACTGAACGTGCCGCGTGGTTACACCGCGTGGTTTTACCGTCCGCGCAGTACGCGCGTGGCGGTTCGCCCGCTCGCCCCCAAAAAAAACAAAAAACTTCTTCTCCTATCTACTTCCTCCTTTCTTGCACTTACTCTGGGACATGCTCGCAATTATGTTGCTCTCTCGCTCGTTCCTTGTTTCGTTTGCTCTTCATTTCTTTCTCTTTCTGTTTCTCTCGAATCGGGGTGTCACTGATAATTTCGGCCTCCGTCCGCTTTGCTCGCGGGGCGTGTGGTCGTGCTGCTCGCGGCCGCGTGCGCGCGCGGCAGTGCCCAAGAGGAGGCCAGGGCCTCCCCTCCGCGCGCGGCCCGACGCCGCGCGGCTGACGTCTAGACGCTGTGCCAGGCGCCCATTTGTTATTTGCCGTCTTTCTTCCGCTGTCCGATCACATGTTTTGAATTGTGTTCCACATGTGTTGGCCCATGTTCCGTACGAAAGAGAGGGATGAGGAGCAGGGGGAGGAGGAGGAGGAGGCGAGGAGGAGAGAACGAGGAGGAGAAGGTAGAGGAGAAGGAGGAGGAGGACAGGAGGAGGAGGACAGGAGGAGGAGGAGGAAGAGGAGGATCTACACACGGGGGGGGGGAGCAAATCCCCTGCCCGTCAGGCACTGCCCGCGATGAGCGACATGATGCGCGAGTTGGAGCAGCAGGAGATGATGGAAGAGGTGATCTCGAAGGAGCAGCAAGAGAGGGCTTGGAAGGACGGGGGGGGGCCGCTTGAGTGCTCTCTGGCTCGTGTGGCGCTGTCTGGTAGGAAGGCACAATGGGGAGGGAAAACAAACCTGAGAGCAAATTGAATATATATCTTGGCTGGTTGGCTGGCGGGTTGGCGAAAAGGTATTTGATATGTTGGCTGGTTGGTTGATTGACCTAGCTCTTGGATACATTGATCTCGAGGACACAAAAACATGAAATGATGAGAGGAGAAACTAACATGTCAAAAGAGTTCCCGAAGATGCCGACAGCACACGTCGAACCAAACAGCCTTCCGTTCCATTGCAATTCAGGCTCAAGTAGTTATGGCTTCACTTCAGGCGGTGCTCAGTGATTTTTTTACGATCCCAAATAAGTTTGCGTATGGAGAGGACATGCGTGAGAGTCCCCAGGACCCAGAGAACCTGTGCAAATCGAAAAAGTTGTTCCAGGAGCTCGCGAAGGTCAACCCGAGATTCGTTTTCAAGAAATCCGAGGTCGAGAAATGCCTAGCATCGATTGCCAAGTCGAAGGTCAAGGACTGGAAACTCAGTAAAGACGACAGTGCCGACTGGGTGCGACGAATGGCTAAGCGGGTCAGGACAGCTTGCTGCCATCTCAACCAGGATCTCAGCAAGCAACGCTATTCACTCGTGAAGTCTCTGAGCATTGAGTTGCCTGTAGATGGAGATGATGATGAACAGGAACAGGCCGAGGAGGAGGTACCAATAGTACACGATTCGGAGGTCAGCGGCGAGGACGATGACGAGGAGGAGCAGGCGTCGCAGAAGAGGCCGTCGGCGTGGGATGCTGCAGCGTCTTCGACCTTGCTGTGGGAGTACGGATACGACAAGGACACTTGTCATCAAACAGTTTTTTGGAGGGGACGGTCGGTGGGTCCTGGGGCCGCTGAGGCCGGGAAGAAATATGGAAAACGCATCTGGAGGACCCTTGAACATGCTGTACCCCTCCTCAAAAAAAGCTCTCCCCTCCCAATTGATGCTGCCCTAGGAGATGAGGTGCGCGTACCGTAAGCGCGGCAGCAAACCCAAGGAGTTCGCAGAGATGATCGAGCCCAGCTCAGATACCCACCCAGCAGACCCCATGAAGTCGAAGTACCCTGACGGCTCGATCGTTGAGGTGCCTCAGATCACGGTTGGCGAATGGAGGAAGGATCCAGGCCCCGAGGACGATGGGCCACCTCGCAAACGACCGTCTGCAGCTCAGCCATCGGGAGCGGGTGCGAAAAATATTTACTTCAGAGAGAACGATCTTGAGGGCAAGGAGGTCGTTGTGCGCGGGAAGTGGAACCGAGAGAAAGGCAGGAAGGAGCAGCGCCTCATCGTCGTGACCGTCGACAGGTTGCAGATCGTCCAGGTGGACATCGATGATTTCGGTGGAGAGGAAGCGGCGATCGAGTGGTGCAAGACCTCGGTGGCGAAGGTGGCGGCATCGCGATCGCTGTCCAAGGGTGAGGCGTACAAGATCAGGGACGACTACTTGCAGAAGGGTGCCACGACTGACCCCAAGAAGAGGCCAGCTGCAGCATCAGCAGCAGCACCAGCATGCAAGCGACCAGCAGCAACCACGGCAGATTCCTCGAGGCCAGCAGCAGCAGCACCAGTGACACCGCCAGCAAATGGAGCGATGAGGTCTCCGAGTGGTGATAGGTCGGGATCTGCAGGGCCAGCGCGGATGGTCGTGTCTCCGCCAGCGCCTGGAGAGTTCGATTGAGCCTGGAGCCGCCTGAACATCATCATCATCATCATCATCCATCGCATCGTCACCAGAGAAACCAAACAACGAAAGACATGTATAGGGGGTAATTGAAAGGGAAAATAACGGAAACAGAAAAAAGAAAACAAGGTGGAGCGGAAGGAGGATCAAAATCCAGTTCCCACGAAAACGAAGGGATCATGAAACGACGATCTGATTTGAAACCTCATCGTCATTTACTCCTCCTTCCCCTGGTCCTCCAGCTTCTCCTCCTTCTACTGCCCCCCCCGCGCCGCGCAGGAAGCGGTCGACAAGGGCAGCAAGCGCGGCTGGAACGTATTGAAGGAGAACGCCGCAGGGGAGGGAGGAGAGAGGGA